CTCGCGGCGGTCTCCTCGCGGAGGCGGAGGCGGGCTGGCGAGCGCTGGCGGACGCGGCTGGCGAGGCGCTGGCGGCGGCGGCGGCGACGACGGAGGGTGGCAGCGGCGGCGGCGGCGGCGGTGATCACGCGGCGGCGGCGGCGGCGGCAGCGGAGGAGGAGCTCGTGGACTGCCTTTGCCGTCTGGCGGATGTGCAGGTTCGTTGACGGGGTTACTGGTTGGTGGTTGGTGGTTGACACGGCACGGTTGCTCGTGTGTATCCTACCTTTTAACCTTGTGGAGGGCTGCATCCAGGCATGTTGACAGCACCAGCACCAGCACCAGCATCAATATCATCCAGGTCAAGCATACTTCCATGCGAAGATTTTCCTCCCCGAGTAGAGTCTCCCGCCCGACTCCCCCCTCTCTCTCTCTCTCTCCCCCTCTCTCTCTCTCTCTCTCTCTCTCTCTCTCTCACAGAGACACACAGAGACACACAGAGACACACATTCAAATCTGACACACACACACACACACACATACACACACACACACATACACGCACACGCACACACACACATTTTCCTCCCCCCGAGTCATTCTCCCGCCCGACTCCCCCTCTCTCTCTCTCCACCACCTCCCCGCACCGGACATTCCTCCTGCTGTTACAGCTCTCCGCGGACGCCGCGGATATTGAGGCGCGAGTGGGGGCGAGGCTGGCTGCGGAGGCGGAGGCCCTGGCGCCCGGCGTGACACCCGAACAGGTATATACAGTCGTACTGCCGTACGAGCTTTATTATACGACAAGGTACAGCAGCGGAACAGCGACAGCATTGATGTTGTCTTCTGTTACCCTGCATTTTTGTAATGCAACCGAACTACATCGTCTATCGTCAGAGTGTTTACCTTGTGCCTTGAATGATTACCGTCATGATATTCCATTCTCTTCCGGTATTTACATATATCGTGCAAACTTATGCATTTCACATTGCCCCGTCCGGGATTCGAACCCAGGCGGCGGCACTTGAGTCTACGGTTCGTGGCGCGGTTGAGGGCGAGTGGGCGGAGGAAGCTCTAGAGCTGGACGCCGACCACGCCTCCTCCACGCTGCGCCGCATCATCACGTTACGTCCGCCCACCCCACCGTACGTGCCGTACTATGATGCCTTCCTCAAGCGGTACGTCGCAAGAGCCCGGCCTGTGTACGTGTATGTATGTATGTATGTATGTATATATGTATGTATGTATGTATGTATGTATGTACGACCGGAAATAAGATAAGATTTGGGAGGATTGGCGGTCGGTGTTAGATATTTATAGATGTATTCATGCCCGAGGGGTGCAGGAGTGTGTATTGTAGACGTATTATGTAAGAGAAAGCACACACGCACTGCCACACACACACGCACTGACACACACACACACACACTGCCCTCTTGGTCCTTGGTCTCCCCCTTGCCCCTCGGTCTCCCTAGTCTTCGCAAGTACATCCAGGCCGCCCCCCCTGGATCGATGGAGCGACACTCCCGACGTGCCGTACTGCTGGCTGCGGCCAAGGCGACCATGGAGGGGCGCTGTGGGACCAGGACGGGTGCGGGCGGACGGGGGGAGGGGGGGCGGGGAAGGGGGGGGCGGGGGAGGGGGGGGCGGGGAAGGGGGGATGAAAAGGGCGGGGGGATTCGGGGGAGGGGGGCGGGTATGTGCACGGCGCGATTGAGGCAGGAGGGATCAGGTGGGAGGTGTAAGTACATCCCATCCTCGTGTTTCTCCCCTTCTCCCCTCATCTTGCCCCCCCCTCCAGTTTCTTTCTATCGGTTGCTGTTGGGGTTACACAGGTTACCCGGTTTGGGGTATCCTGGCGGGCCTCTATTAAACGAAGGAGGCCGACGAAGGGGTTCTCCTTCGGGGAAGAAAATGAAGGGGAAGGGGAACCCCTTCCGTCGGAGGGCGCGTTTTCCTCCTTTTTTCTTCTTGCTTCTCATTTGGCACCACACGCACCCATTCCTTACCACGCCCTTCCCTGGCCCATCTTGATCTGCTTGTTCCGACCTATCCCCTC